GAGAGCTTCAGCACATCACCCCCTGGGTGGTGATGATGCAAAGATTCATTGCCTGAAGGAGCTTAGTCCTGGGGAGCTTGTTTGAGGAGCCAGGTCCCTCCTCATCCTGCCTCATCAGTGAGGGTCCTGCTCACTTCCCAGCTCAGTCCACTGGTGCTGGAGCATACCCGGCTGCCCAGGAGCTGCCTCCCATGGTGTCATGGTTTAAGCTTAGCCCCATGTGGCACCAGGTTGCGCACACCCTCCCCTAAGCTGTGTGTTCCCAGGTCTCCCTTGCCCCCTGCCGCCCGGCCTCCTGGCTTTGTGCAGCCGTACAAAAGAGAACCTGTCCGGGCTGCTCCGCTTCCCGGGAGCTGGCTGATAATTAAACAAAGGCAAAATAGCCTTGGCATGAAACTTGACCTTTCCGGAGCCCGGGGGAGGAGGGGAATGCTGCATGAATTCTGGCCGTGGTTATTTGTATGCATTATGCTTTTTCAGTGGGGATCTCTGTGCTGGAGGGGCAGGGAGTGCCCGAGCTCCCATGATGGGCTGTGATGTGGGAGACAAAGTCCGTGCTGGCCCTTCCCATGGCGCATCCATCCCTCCATGCCGCACAGATAGGGGGAAGCACCCTCCAGCCACTGTCCTCCAGGATAGCAGCTAAGGATGGATGGGATGCGGGATGGAGGGATCTCAGTGCTTAGGGTATGCTGTCCCTTGTCCCCATCACTGCGGGAGGAGGCAGTGATGCTGTGCCCAGGCCACCTCCATCCAGCTCAGGGTGCTGATCCCCAGGCAGCACCTTTTGCACTATAAAGAGCCCTGCAACACCAGGGTGCCCAAGGGGCTCTGCCTGGCTTCTCCCCTTGGTCCTGGCTGTGCCCAGCCCATCCCTGTCCCCATCCCCTGCTGCCACCTCCTGTGCCCGCACCTAACAAAGCCCAGCGGCAAATTAATCTTCAACTGGGTCCCCGTGATGGTTATTACGCTGTGTGCTGCTCAGCACCACGTTAATGGTTAACCCCTCACGTTCACTGTCAGCTCCTGCCTGCTGCTGTCGAAGAGCCCTTCCCACACCTCTGGTAACCCAACCATTAACCAGGACACGGAGCTGCCCAGAAAGCATCCCTGGGGCTGGGTGGGCACCCAGGAGGGTTTAACTCAGGGAGGAGGAGGAGGGAAGCCAGGGAGGAAGGTGGTGCTGGGGAAAGGGTGCAGGGCCTCCCTTCTTCCTCTATGCCCTTCGAGGATGTCCTCTCCTGCCAGATCCGGGAACGTCATGGCCAGGCTGTTATGGTGGGTGGGGGAAAATCCCTTGGGCAGCTCGTGATGAATGAGTTGGCTTTTGCTTCCCATTCACTCCCTTTACCAGCGCAAACCCAAAGAGCTGTGATTCCTCCTCCCTCTCGGGATAACCCTGTCCCCCCACCGACACCATTCCCAGGAGGGAGAGGGCAGCTCATGTCCTAAATCACAATGTTTGCCCATTGTGCCCCAGAATAGGCAGTGCTGGTGGCAAACGCACCCCATAAATCCCCTGGGGCTTTGGCTGGTGCATGGCACCCATCGTGGCGGAGCAATGGGTGCACAGGCACCCCATGGGGCTGCTGGGGGGAGAAAGGCAGCTCTTCATGTGTCTGCCTTCCCTGTAGAGCTCCAGCTCCTCATTTTCCCCACCCTGTGCCCATGGGGATGCTGCCCTGTAGGAAGCCAATGGAGGATCCGGATCCACCCAGCCTCCAGCACGCACACCAGCCCCTTCCTTATTGCTTCCGAGGGAACAGCTTGCCCTTGAGCCATCCCGCTCTCCAAGCAGGTGGAAATTCCCTACATGGGCTCTTAAAGAAGCTGTTTCCAGTAGAGAGATGTTCCAAGGCTGCTGCAGGGTGGGCAGTATGGTGGCATTGGGCTGGTCCCCATCCCATGTGGATTCGTGGGGCTGCAGCAGACCGGATGAGGCTGGAGATGCCACACTGTCCCAGTGCCTCTGGGGTCTGCATGCACCCATTTCCCTATGCAAAGCAAATCCCAGATCACAAGGAGCAACGCTGGGCCAACCCTAAGAGTGACCCCATCTCTGCTCCCAGCCACCCCACACACAACCGGGTCTCTCCACACCATCCTCATCACCTCCTCATCCAAGATAGGGGCAAACCCTACCCAAGAGAAGGGCTCAGCCACCCTTCCCTTCACCCCCACCAGCTCTCCGCATTCCAAAGGCCAGGCTAGTTGTCACCCTCACAGGGGGCTATTGCCCGTGGTGGAATGGGGCACGGCACACCCCATGGACTGGGGTGCACAACGGGGTGCATGGAAGGAGACAGCAGGAGCCCAGGCTCTGGCAGGAGGCAGGATGCTGCTTGCTTGCCTGCAGTCCCCATAGAGGCAGACTGTCCCCAACCCTGTGTTATGGGTGGAAAAGGGTAACCCCATCCCAGCACACACACCCTGCCATGCAGGGCACTTCAAGCCCAAGGACACCTTCCAGGGTGGGGGGACAATAAGGAAGTTTGAGTTTGCTACAGTGTGCCCCTGGAAACCGTTTGGCCTCAGTCTCCAATGGCACAACGATCAGCTTTTTGGGGTGCCAGTCTGAGGGATCAGGCAATCTAAGGGTTATAAGGTGCAGAGATGCCCGGTGGCACCCAGGCAATGTTGGGGTGCATCCTAGGGCTGGTGCGGGACAAGCCGGGATGGGTTCCTCTGTGGATGCCGGCAGCTCTGGAGGTGCTTGGGCAGTGGGAAGCAGAGGGAAGTGGCACGGTGGAAGCACAGGGGTTGCTGCACCATCCAGGTTTACCCCCCACTGCCCCACTGCCACCCTTTGGGCTGCCAGGGGAGCTGGGAGCCAGGAAGGGTGATGGGGAGGAATTGCATCCGGGAGGAGATACTGGTCCTGCAGGTTTCCCCAGCGGGCAGAGGGCAGGAACCAAGCTGTGGTTGCATCCAGTGCCGCAGAAACGGCCTGCCCTGAGTGGGGAAACCCCATGGCCAGGAAGAGGTGTGAAACCAGGAGCCTCCGACCAGCCGGGAATCACCCCGATCCCACTGCACCCTGCTGGGTGATGGCACAGGGCGTTTGCCAGGACCCTGCTTGGCAAGGCAGCCCCATGCAGGGGCAGAGAGGGACGAGGCCAGATGTGCCCAGCGGTGCCTGGCTCGGTGATAACCAGCTCCTGGCCACCATGACCAGGAAGGGCTTTGGGCAGCACCGGGCTCCTGCGTACCCAGAGAGGGAAAAGAGGATTAGAAGGCTTGACGTCACCCATGAGGTCACTGTTTATGGTCGGAACCAGTGTCCAGTGAGGAGGAAGAGGAAGAGAAAGCCGTTTTATAGCAGTTTCCCCACGCACCTCTCCATGGGGCAGGACCAGAACCCATGTCCCCAGGGCTGAGTCACCCTGGGGTGGGGAGCAGGCACCCACGCCTGTCCTGCTGCCACCCTGCTGCCTCCGACTGGGTGCTGGATGGTGCCACCGAGGTGCTGCACCCTGAGGAACCGCAGCCGTGCCCCGGTGCAGCCCCGTGCCCAGCGCAGGAGCTGATAAGGGGGTGCTGGAGCAAGGCAGTGCATGGGGACAATGTTTGCACACTGGGCTCCTGCCCCACTGCCTATCGCCTTGTCCTTAACCGCCACCGCCCCACAGTGCTCTGCCCCACAGCAGGGAGGTGGGGAATGTCATGGTAGAAAGGGGGTGAAGCAGAACAGCCACCCCAAACCACCTCGTGTTTGAAATGAGCAAGTCCCCGGAAAGGGACTCTTCATCAGGGGCTGTAGTGACAGGACAAGGGGTGATGGGGTCAGACTGAAACAGGGGAAGTTCAGGTTAGATTTAAGGAAGAAGTTCTTTACTGTAAGGGTGGTGAGGCACTGGAATGGGTTCCCAAGGAGGTTGTGAATGCTCCATCCCTGGCAGTGTTCAAGGCCAGGTTGAACAGAGCCTTGGGTGATATGGTTTAGAGCAAGGTGTCCCTGCCCATGGCAGGGGGGTTGGAACTGGATGATCTTAAGGTCCTTTTCAACCCAAACTATTCTATGATTCTATGAAATGGGGAAACTGAGGCATGCTCAAGGGGGGCATGATGCCAAAGGCAACAAGGGAGTGATGCTGGGGAAGAGGGTGGCTGCAAACCCACCCATCACCCCCCATAGAAGGACAGTGGGACAATGCTGGGGGATGGAGATGCTCAGAGATGGAGTTGGGGGATGAGGGTACCACCTCATTTGATGCTCCTGGGGCTGATGGGGACACGGACACGAGGCCAAACCCCCCCAGTAACCAGCCCTGCCCTTCAAGCCAGGCTGTTGCCCAGTCCCTAAACCCACGTTGCTGAGCAAGCAGCGGCTGTGGCGGAGGGCAGGGCTGTTTTGCAAGGCTGGTGGCAGCCCCCGCCACTCCCGGCTGTTGTGCAAACACGGGGCTGCTGGTTTCCAAGCACCGGAGCAGGTGAGGAGCCTGCATGGGGCTCTTGGCGATGGGGAAGGCAAAGCAGCCCCGCAGCCCGCGGTGCTCCCAGGCACAGGCCGTTCATTGAAGCAGCACCGGGATCGGCTCCAGGGTTGTATCCAAGATGAACAGTTTAATTGGTTTCCTTTACAGCATGGGGAGGGCTCAGCCATGGTGGGACAGGGACCAGCAGGGCTGTCTTCACACCAGGGCAGGGGCACAGACCAGCCAGTGCCTCATGTAGGTGACAACATGGCCAGGGCCGGCAGGAAACGTGTGTAGGGGTAGATACAGCCCCATAGGAAGCGTAGATACCACCCACAATGATTCAATGGAGCGATGAGGGGGGCACAGAGAAGCCCCCACTTAGGGACACAGTGGGGACAGCATGGGAAAGGCACAGCACCTGCCTGCAAGGGTTTATCAAGGCATCGCTGTACCACTGCCAGATCAGCAGCCCTCATCAGCCCCTGCGCTGCTCTATCTCCCTCCAGCATCAGCTTAAACAGACCAAGCAGCTCCCCCCCCCTTCAAAACCCGCCCCAAATCGCTATGTACAGACTCAGTGTCCCATAACAGTACAAAAATATACACAAACTCTACAGATCCCAGCTCAGTAGATCAAAACACAGCTACAAAATCACAGTGCACAAGACAGCATCAGGCCCAGGGAGCGCTGGGGTCCCCCGGAGAGCACGGCACGCCACGGGAGCACCTCGGCACGATGTGGGGGCAGATCATCTCCTGCTTCGTGGGGTCATTTCTGGTCCAGATGGCAGTACAGGTACATGGCAACCACCATGGCTGCAATCTGGGGTGGCAAGAAGGAAGTCAGCACCCACAAGTGTGTGTTGTCTCATCCCTTCAGCCAGCATGGGTTTGGGTTGCAGCCTGTAGCATCCATCCCCAGCACACTCAAGGAGGAGGAGTTGGGTGTACCAATGGAGTAGCCACCCTGGGAAGGATGGTGGGCCATAGGGCTCCACCAGCCCCTTGCCACCCATGCCGGTCCCTGCACCACGACTCACCCACAGGTACAAGGTGAAGGAGCACAATGATGCTCAGGCACTCACCTCCAAGGCAGCGATGCCAGCAGCCACGCCACCCACCACACCTGCATGGGTCCTGATTTCTTCCAAGATCTGATTGAAACAACCCTGCAGGAGGCAAGCACACAGGTGAGGGTGAGCAAGAGGTGGTGATCCCCCAGCTGCTGGGGCACAGCAGCCCCAGGAAGGGAGGTACAGTTCTTCAGTATGGAGATGGAGATGGTCTGGGGGTCCCAGGGGCCACTTCCCAGGCCAAACCACTGTATTAGGGGCAGAAAGGAGAGGAACAGGCAGGGAAACCACAGTGATGCCTGGATTCATGCTCAGCTCCGGGCATGCCAACCTGCTACAGAGCTCCCCTTAGGACCAGAGCAATCTTGGACTTAAGGTCCATGGGAGCACCATGTCCCAAGGTGGGGCTGGAGCTACATGGGAGGTCTCCTGCCCCATGCCAAAGCACACCCCAAACCAGGCTCTGCCAGAAGAGAAGAGCTGTTGGTGCACCCATACCGTGACTTTGCTTTCTGCAGCTGCCGTGTAGGTGCAGGGCTGTGTGCTGTTACAGCAGGGATCGGGGTAGGTTCCGTGGTCCTTATACCAGATGGAGTCGTTGAAGTCTGTGTAGTTATTCAGGCCACAGCAATGGACCTAAGAAGGAGAGAGAGGAAAGGATGGGGAGAGCATCCAGGTCTGGACACTGCTGCCTCATGGATGGGTTACCCAGCTCAACCCTGCTGTTCAATGGCCTTCCTGGGACAAGGATTTTGCCCATACTCAAGCATATACAGCTCTCCCCCCAGCCATGGGACCATTGGATCCCAAGCGGGTAGGTCCCAGGCACCTGGGAAGCTGATGGAAGGGGACAGCTCAGCACATCCAGGATCATGATGGTGTCCCCATTCCCATCCCAGAATGGGAATTGCCCATCCCGAAGCCCAGGTTTGCACCACTGAGCCATGCTGGGAGCATTCTGGCTCAGAGATGGGGGCCCCAGGGCTCAGCGCACCTCTGTCATGGTGACATTCCAGATGTGTGTGAAGCTCTTATCCACCCCGTACTTATCCTTCAGGAGAGGGGTCACCACCGCCGTCAGCAGTGTCCCTGCCTGGAAGGGGAGGCAGAGAAACACCATCAGAGAAGGTTCTGGTGAGCATCACAGAGCCTAAGATCCCCCATACTGGTCTCAAGCTATTGGGAGGAGACCAACCAGGCCCAGCGTGGCCAGGAGCACATCACACCACATCCCTTCGGCTTGAGGATAGCTTGGCCCCTTCCCCACTAACCAGTACTTAATGGCACCCAGGCCACTTATGACCAGTGAGTCATCTGATAAGCAGCACAACTGAGGGAGCCAGGAATGATGTTTGCTCTGCGGTTCACTTCTCCAGTGCCTAATGAGGCAGTCACCTTTCTCCCCAGGTGGTTTCTCAGGTGCTTAATAAGGGGGTGAGTTTGAGCATGAAGCATTAGGGATTTCCTCTCCTATGTGGCTCCTGCCATCAGAGGTGGAGAGGTGTCAAGGCTGCTACTAGCTTAAGGCATTTGAAAGAAAGAAGAGAGCAAAACGTGGACCATAACGCTGCTTTCCTCAGGGCAATGGGAATCCCTGTTCACCCCATCCTCACCGAGCCAGACCACCCCACCTTGCCCACGTAGCTGGTGCCAACAGGGTCCAGCACCCCTTCCTCCAGCAGCAGTGCCCACCATGGGCAGCACCACCAGCCCCAGTGCCTCCTGTTTTCCCAAGGGGTAGGACCGGGTCCCAGATTAGCCCAATGCAAGCCTCAGATACGGTACTCACAACACCCGTGTAGACCAGAGCCACCACGGCAGCAGCGACTTCAGCAATGAAGATGATCAGCACCACTGCGAAGAACTAGGATACAGCAAGGGGAGGGAGGGAGGTCAGAGCCATAGAGGCTTCCCAAGGCCACAGGACACCCCCTCAGGGCTCAATCCCTGTCTCATTGCCTTCAGCTCTGCCGCAGGGCATGGGCAACACAACCTTGGGATCCTCCAGCCCTCCCCATGGGGCTGATCTCTCTGGACATCTCCAAAGGAGACCTCTGCTCAGCACCAGCTTCTGCTTCCTTTCACCCTCACCCAGGTCCAGCACTGCCTTTCCAAGGGCCACCCAGCCTTCTGCCACATGGGAACATCCACGGAGCACCATGTCTCCATGGAACAATCTGTTCTTCAGATCTCCCCCACCAGAGGCCAAGCTCAAGTGTGGCTTGATAAGGAGACAAGTCAGGTCCATACCATCATCAGGAGGCATTTGCTCTCCTTCTGTGCTCCGTAGCAGCCAAGGAAGCCGATCACCAGCAGGATGGCACCGATGACGATGAGGAAGTAGCTCACATTCACAACCTGCAGGATGCTGGAGGAGATTGCCCCAAATATATCCAGGAACGACTGTCCATCCACTGTGACCCAGATGCCAACTCCTAGCAGGGTCCCACCACTGAGCTGGGAGGAGAAAGACAATGTCAGCTCCCAGGCAGGAAGAGATGTGTGATTTGGGGAAGGTCCTGGCACAGCTACTTCTCCCCTTTGCGAGTTCTTGCTATACCAAATCAATACTTTATGGCCACTGAGAAAGTTGGGGCTGTTCAGCCTGGAGAAGAGAAGGCTGCGTGGAGACCTCATAGCAGCCTTCCAGTATCTGAAGGGGGTATATAGGGATGATGGGGATGGACTCTTCATTAGGGACTGTAGTGGCAGGACAAGGGGTAATGGGTTAAAACTTAAACAGGGGAAGTTTAGATTGGATATAAGGAGGAAATTCTTTCCTGTTAGGGTGGTGAGGCACTGGAATGGGTTGCCCAGGGAGGTTGTGAATGCTCCATCCCTGGCAGTGTTCAAGGCCAGGTTGGACGAGGCCTTGGGTGATATGGTTTAGTGTGAGGTGTCCCTGCCCATGGCAGGGGGGTTGGAACTTGATGATCTTAAGGTCCTTTCCAACCCAAACTATTCTGTGGTTCTATGAAGGCAGCTCAGGGTGTTGCTGCCACGCACCTGGGGTGTCCGGATGGGTCAGTATCCTTAAACACACCCCACCACCAGCACATTCCCAGCTGTGGTGTCACAGTTCCCCCTATTCAAGGCAGCCAAGCCAGCCGTGTCACTGGCCACCCTTGGCCCCAGAGGGACCCACATGTCCAGCTCACACTGGCCACCATTACAGTGCCACAGATTCCATCCAGGGAAGATACCCACTGACAAGGGGAGCAGCGGATCGAGTGAGCCCCAGAGGCTCACATACACCCGGTCAAGGTCAGCTCAGGGCTGCTTCCAGCCTGCCCCAGCCCTGCCCTCCACCTTTCCCAAGGCCTGGAAGGTGCATTAAGGCAGCAGTGTTTCACCAGGGTGAGGCTGGAGGCTCTGCAGCCCCCCTTTCCCACAGCTTTATCCCACCACAGCCCCTTCCTGCTGGATCCATCGCTCTTGCATAGCCAGGGTAGCTCTTAGAGCCCCACCACATTTAGCCCTGCATGGGAGCAGAGGCTGTATGTGCTCTGGAAACTCCCAATACCCCAACACTGGAAAGGAGTTGGGATACTGGGATACCCCCAGCATCGCAGGTCACTGTAACACACACGGGCTGCTCCCCTACAGGGAGGGACCCAGCAAACTCCCCTGCTCTGGGGCACACTGCACCCCTCACCAGAGCTCCAGCACAAGGAAGGACATGGGTCGCTGATGCAACAGCCACCATCCCCTGAGCCCAGCACGGTCCCCTGGGCTTTGGCCAGCACTGGACACACCGATGTAGCAAGACCCCTGCTAGCCCAAGGCTTTAGTCCTCAGCTCGGTGCCAGAGCCCAGACCTCGCACCCCACCGGGGTCCCAAGAGCACGAGTCCCTCATGGACCTGTATCGCCTGCTCAGTCCCCCACAAATGGGGGCATGCAGGGGCAGGAGACCCCACAGGGGATGGCTTCCCCAGCCCCATGCCCGGCTCAGGGGGCTCCCCAGGACCCGCTCCCTCGGTCCCCAGCCTTTCATCCCTGTTTCCCAAGGGGCAGGAAGCCGCCAGGGTCGGGTTCCCCCGCGGCAGAGACACCATCTGGGGCGCACTTACGAATATGGCCAGGTTGAAGAGGATCATCATGACCTTGATAAAGGTGAAGCACCCCATCTTTGCACCTGCGGACAGCAGAGACGTGATCAGGGGGACCCCCAACCACAGCCCCCCGCCGGGCCAATCCCCTCGAGGGGCAGAGGAGGGGGAGCCCCGGGGCGCACTCCCCAATGGCCGAGCCGAGCTTACCTGAACGCAGACCGGTCCCAGCGCCCCGTCCCGACCGCACTGACGCCTTTTAAGCGGGCACGGCCCCGGGGCCGCCTCCGCCGCTGGATCCCCTCCGCCCCGTCCAGCCCGGCTCCGACGGGGCCACCCCCTGGAGGGAGGGAGAAGGAGGGGGGATGAAGCCACGCGTGTCCCTGGGTACCTGGTGCCTGCTGCCCTCTGCCGCCGGAGCGGCCCGACCCGGGGTATGCAGGTAGTGAGGCGGGATGCTGCTCCGCGCCCATCACCGCGGCCTCCCGGCGGTGGGGCTGGAAATATGACGTTCCCGTCCCAGTGCTGCTGTGAGCTGACAACACTCGAGGACAAGTACCCCTGCCTGCGTCTTCGCTGAGACCCATCCTGGAAGCCCCGTGACCCTTGGGATGGGGCTGTAGCCCCCTTCCAGTGCCTTAGGGGGATGCAAGAAAGCCGGAGAGGGACTTTATACAAGGGCACGTATTGACAGGACAGAAGGGAATGGCTTTAAACTGAAAGAGGGGAGATTTAGATTGGATATTAGGAAGAAATTCTTCACTGTGAGGGGGCTGAGGCGCTGGCACAGGGTGCCCAGAGAAGCTGTGGCTGCCCCATCCCTGGCAGTGTTCAAGGCCAGGTTGGATGGGGCTTGGAGCAACCTGGTCTAATGGAAGGTGTCCCTTCCACTAGCCCTGAGGAGGGGCTTGGAACCGGATGAGCTTTAAGGTCTCTTCCAACTCAAACCATGCTGTGACTCTATGACTCTGGGGGGCAATTGTATCTATTCCGGGGGGGGTGGTGGAGAAGGGGAGCTTCCCCCCATGGCAGATGCTGCAGCCATGGTGGGGGTACCACCCCACTGCCCTCCTGCACCACCACTCAGCAGCAGTGCTGGGCACTGGGCTTGGGATTTCCTGGCCATGGGCAGCCCCATGTGTTAGCCCATCCCTGCCTTCCCTTCCTGCAGGACCACGACTGCGTCACCCCATCTTTCCGGGCTGATGCTGTGCGTACGCTACTGGCCCCACTGCTTGGGACCACTCGGGCAGGGATCTCCAAAACTTCAATCTCCAGCCCCCTGGGTAAAACCAGGAGCAGGCAGAGGAGGGCACAGAGCCGGCTGGCAAAGGAAAACCTAAAGTTGTACGGGCCATCACTAACTGTTGCGCAGGGAGGCAGATTTTCACCTCTGGGGACACAGCAGGGTGACAGCAGGAGAGGACAGTGACAGCCGTAACAGATGCCAGCACTGGAGCAGGTCAGCAGAGACCTGCCATTGCCTAAGGGCTGCCAAAAGTGATCCTCTTTGGAAAGACGCTTTGAAAGAGGGCTGCAACAGAGTCAGGCAGGGATGCTGCATCCCCCGGCCTGACCATGGCGGTGGTTCTTGCTCATGCAATGTCTTTGGGGCAGGAGCTCGCGTTGGACCCCTCCCCAGCACCCACAGTGTGTCCTTTCAGCTTGTCATCAAACCGAGGAGTGATGCAGGAGGGTGGAGAGCCCTCATCCTGCAACAGCAGCCAGCAAATGCTGGGTCTGATTGCTCAGCACGCTCCACCCTGCACCCAGTTCCCCCCAAAACCCCACAGCGAATTCCCTGCCTGGCCATAATGATACATTTCAGTGGGATGAAGTCAGCCCCATTGGGCTCCAGCCAAAGCCCAGTGGTATCTGGGGAAGCCTTCAACCCTCCCAGGCACCCTGGGTGTTAGTGCAACTTGTGCTGGAGCTTTAACCCTTTCCCCCTCAGCCCTTCCCTGCAGTAGCTGCGCATCCACTGCTACCATGAAGCTGCTCAGAGTGAGGGGCTCAGCCTTTATCCCTCTCCCAAAAGGGGCTCCATGCAAAACAAGACTCTGATCATATTGACCCTCTCCCAGAAGTTGCCCCATCCCAGCCTGCACACAAAATATTTTGAGGCAAATACATAAGTAGTAGCTTTCAATCCCAATCATTCCCAGGTACAAGGAAACTCAAAGGACCAGCTCTGGGCTGCTCCATTCACCTCCCCAGCACTCAGCACCGCAGACTGGGGTTTGGCCGCTCCCCAGCATCACCCATCTGAGCCCCATTAGGGAGCCAGGGCTGGATTTTCTGGCTCTTCAGGAAGGCTTGGCCTGACCACAGCAGGACGAGCCCGGTGACATTCCCATGTCCCTCCTGCCCAGCAGGACCCTGCCACCTCCCCATTGCTCCCATCCCTGCATGCAGCTTGGCTGGACCCTGAGCATCCCCTTCCCTGGAGCACAGGGATGCTTCTCACCGGGACATGGGTAGCACGGCGCCTCCTCAGCGGGCCTGGCTCTGGGAGGCTGAGGGCAGGAAAGTGGCTGTAATTGGTCACCCCAAAGTCCTCCATCCCCACCCCAGCTGCTGGGGGGCATGTCTGGTGTCAGGATCTGCGCCAAGCACCCCCTCCTTAGGTTCTTCTTCATGGAAAAGCTGCCAGCTCTGCTCCCTGCCTCATGTCTCTTCCCCAGGAAGGACTGGGCAGTGGGACCACACTGATTTCCTTGTGCTGCAGCTCCCATATTGGGGGAATCCTCCCCATTTCCATGGCTGTGTGCAAAACCACAGCCTGAGTCCAAAACACAGGATCTGACCCATTTAGTACCGTGATCTGTGCCATGGGGTGTAAATACAGGGGTGATAAGTGGGAGCTGCAAGTCTGTCCCAGCGATGCATCCCACAGTGTGAGTCCCTCAGGGCAAGGATCCAGCCCTGTGCCTTACGTAGCTGATTTTAATCACGGTGCTGTTTGTAGCTGTGTGTTAATAATGCAATTAAAGAGGGGCTCAATGACATCTCCCTGCCTGTGTACAGAGCTGAGCCTCTTCCTGTGCATGTACCCCCCAACAGAGAGTCCCCCGGTGCCTGCCCTGCCACTGGCTGCCTGCCCGCACCCCTCCAGGATAACATTTCCTTGTTTCCCACATGTGTTTAGGCCAGAAAATCCCTCCCACATTCATTAGCAAGGTCCATGTCGAGGCACCAGCTGCTGTAAAGCCAAGTGGGATGGTTTGGGGAATGCAGAGGGCTGCATTGCGGGGTCATGCCAGGACAACCGCATGCCAAGCACTGATGCTCTGGGGGCTGCTGCAAGTGAGAGCAGGGCTGCAAAGCCTTCTTCATTGCCTCACCCAGTTGGTAGGACCTTCTCCCATGATGGACTGAGGTGTGGGACCTGGCTCTGGTCAGGGTGCAGTGCTAGGGTGTGCTGACGTCTGCTGCCCAGGGAGGTGGCATTGAGGGGCCATTGGTACCCGGTGCCATACAGGTTGCCCTGCCTGGCACCGCAGTCTCTCTGCCAGCACCCACTCCTGGCATCTTCCCCACTGTGAAGCTTCAACAGTGCAGAGAGGGGAAGAGCCCCAGCGCCAGCCCCAGGCAGTGCCCAGAGCCTTTCCTTATGTTCCCTGGTTCTGTTTCCAGCATCCCCAGGTGGGGGTACCCCAGCCCAGGCAGGCACTGTGGCAGTGGTGGCGGAGCAGGGATGTAGGAGCCAGCAGCTCCCGGCTGCCCATGGGCACCGCGATGGGAGCTTGTTTGAAGAAGCACTTGGCTCTTCCTCAAACAACACCCACAGAGGCCAGAGCTCACTCCTGGGCACCCTGAGAGTAAACCAAGAGAGAGGGAGTTTTGCTGCTCCTAAAGAGAAGAGAAAGCAAAGCGTGGCCCTCTCCGGAGGGGGGGAATGGAGATGAAACTGAAAAAGCTGACTGTGAAATGTCAGCTGAAATCAAACATTGTTTCTGTGATTTCTCCAGCTGGGAAGGGCTTCACAACCTCGCTTACTCCAGCCCGGCACATTAACAACTCTATTTCTGCTCCGTTTATTCACAGCCATGTGGCTAACATCCCGGGAAGCATGGGGTGAGTGTGACCAACGCATAGTGGGGCAGCCCCTGGAGATGCTCCCACCAAGGGCTGTCTCTCCAGCCAGGAGAGGATGGCAGCAGAGCACGGGGACCCCAGCAAGGAGACATGTCATTCCCCCCCACATAGCCCCATCCTGGGCTGGATGGACAATGAGCAAAGGGAAGCTTGAAGGGGAAGGTAGGATGCAAGATGCCTCCTCCTGCACACCACAGAAAAGCAGAGATCAGGCAAGTCAAAGGCAAAGCTCTCACTGCGATGAGTGCTGCTCATTAAGCAAACGAGGAAGGATCTGTAGCTAATCAGGGCCTGACAGACAGCTCCTCTGCGTGCTCAGTAAATAGCAGTGAAGGCTGAAGCACCTTTTACTCCTTCATAGGGTGCTTCCTGAGGGTTCTCTGCTCATCCTGAGGGATGCACCACCTCCGGGCTGGAGTGAGGTAGGGGGTTATATTAGCAGTGTAGGGGTGAAATGGGATGAGGGGCAGCTCAGGGTGGGGGAGTTTGGGGGATGATGATGATGATAATGATGATGATAATGATGATGATGCAGTGAAACTGGAGTGGGGAGTAAGGGGTGCTCTGGGCAGGGTTAGAGGCCAGCAACAAGAAGGGGCTCTGGGGCAGGAGCTGGCCATGATGGAGTGATGCTCAGCCCCATCTGGGGTGAATGAGGGGGCAATGGGACTTGGGTCCAGCAAGAGATGGTGCCTTCGGCTTTGGGGACCCTGAGGGACATCAGGAGGGGAAGATGTGTGCGGCTAGGAAGGGGGGCTGTCATTCAGCAGCCTGGGGAGGGAGATGATGGGTGTCATGCCATGGTGCTCCCTTGCCCCAGAGCCCTGGGACTGTGTTAATACCTGGCCTGGTTTGGGGATTGATTATAAGGTGGGTGCTAATATCAGGTAGTGATGCACCCACCACCTTCCCGAGCTCTAATCCTCTTCTGGGACACAATGGGGACAGCCCCAGGCAGGGAAGCAGAGTAGGGGAAGCACGTCCTGGCAGCACGGTGCCAGCAGGTAAGGGACAAGGGAGAGCAAAAGCCCTTTTAGTCCCCAAAAGCCAGCAGCAGGGGCCCAGCAATATGCATCTGGTGTGAGATCCCCCAGGATGCTGCTGCCCTGCATGGCCAGCCCATGTGTTGCAGGAAAAGAAGAGGGGGGTTTGCTGAAATTATGGGATGGAAGGGTTTGTGCAGGTCCTGTGTTGCTCTGCTGGCC